TTTGCTTGTAGTAGGAACAAATTTCTTAGGACTTGGGCAAAACTTTTTGAAGCTGTCTCTGCAACGTGTTCAACTGTCACCACATCAAACCTATATCAATAGCTCCTTTATAATGTACTACATGGCCTATTAATAATTAACTATTTCTAACCCTATGTCACAGAGAAAAAAAACCTTATCCCTCCCTTTTTGTAATATCAGATTAAACTTTTTTATTTAAATAGTATCCAGTTTTTTTTTTTTTTTTATTCAAAAATGAAAACAGCACTACTAACACATCTCAGCAATCTCACATCTTTGGTGTTATATTTATTCTAGTCAAGTTCAAGCATACATTCTGTTACTCTCTTCAAATGTTACTACGAGAAAATATGGCTGTAATAAATCAAGTTCAGATTCACTGCAATTGAAATGAGTTGAAAGATAAGACTTCAGTACATGTAGTAAACTGCGATTTTAAATAATGGTTCATTTAAACTTGCCAATGAAACAGTATTTAATGATCATATATCTGAATTTATTTGTTCAATCTCCAGATTTCTTCATATGAAATAATGAAAGAGATGCAAAATTTTCAGCATTTCAAAAAACATTAAACACTTTCTTTGAAATTTCAAAACTAATGCAAAATATATTTTTAAAACAAAATCTCATAAAACTAGCAAAAAGTGTGAATCATGATTACAAAAAACTCAGAAACTTCTAAAAGAAAACACTTATGGTATTTCAAATCGCCAGTGTAAACAAAGTTACCAGATATTCAGATGATGAATTATCAAGAAAAGCATTTCAATATTAAAAAATTGAATATTTGTTTCTATATTTCTTTTCTGCACAGAAAATGGCATAATTCAAAATGTAGCATAACACCCTTGAAGAATGTGTGGTATTTAAGTGTTTCATGGTTTAAACTATATCCCATTATAATTTCAAAGGTAAAAGATACTTGTTATGTGTTGGCAACATGATTCTTTTTTTCACAACATAAAAACAATTCACATAAGTACATTGTGAAATTATTAGTGATTATTTTCATAGCCTGTTTAGATTTTTTAAACTCATTATTTATTTATATGAAATATTTCAAAAATGACACTCATCACCTGACAGTACTGTATTACAAAATGTTATAGATTTATGCAACTCTGGGGCTGCATTTATAATGAAAGAAGTAGTCAATTTTTTTAATTAACCATATTTTTTTTTATTTCAGTATATCTTTGTGTGATATTTCTAACTAGATAAAAATTTTCACATTTTAATTGATAAATGGATCTGATACTACCAAATCCAAAATAAATGTCCTTTAGATAATGTTTATGTAATTATAAATTACAGTCCTTTGTTAAACTGTTTATGGTAGTGCGAGATTTTCAGAATAATATAAATTTTTATTGACATATAAACATAAACTCTATTTCAATATTTTCTGCTACTGAAATAAATAAATTTATTTTAATAATAATCTATAATTGTTCATCTTGTACAAAAAAAAGGGGGGACAGTTCAATATCTCTTGTTCTACTGGGCCGATTGTCGAAATTTAACTTGCGGTTTCCATGTCTCGAAAGTATGACTTAGGACATATATTAGATTTATATATAGCATTGTTCTAACAGGTATTTTGACAAAAAATTAGACTTTTTCTGAAATAACATACCAATTTTTTTTTTTTACATTTCGATTCTACAACTCAAATTATGCCAAAGTGCCAAGTTTTGTAAAAATCACACAAGTAGTTTTTAAAAAATTAGCTCACAAAATTTTAGCTCCTCCATGTTAATTGAATTTGGTACATATTTATAATTATCTCTTTTTTAGTATACTTATTGTATTCTTTTCATATATCGAAATTTAGGTTCATTCCAAATAAAATTCACCCATTTTTTTATGATTTATTTTTAAAATTTGTATTTTTAAATATTTTTTATAAATTTTTCAAAAATAATTTTGATTTATAACCTATAAAATTTTTGCCACCATCTTCAAGTAGATGTATTTCTAAGCATACCTGCAAAAATTAGAGTTTTTTATTAAACATTTCCTAAGATATATGTGAATTTATTACAAATATTGGCGCATTTTGAAATTCAAAATATTTGTTATAAGCAATAATGACACCAAATGTTATTTATGCACTTTGTTAAAATGATTTGAAAGTACAGTAGACTCCCGATTATCTGTGGGAGGATTATTTGCGCCTGCCGCACAAAGTTTTTTTTTCTTTTTCTTTACACGTGTAAAGCAAAGAAAATAAAAATATTCACAAAACTGAGCGAAATGCTAAATTTGCTAACATCGTGCTTATTTATCGCAAAAATATCCCAGGCCTTCTCGGAAACTTCCCCTCTGATGAGTAAGTGATTTCTTACTCACCCTTGCAGTGCCCGCTCCACTGCACTCTCTTGTCTTAATCTTACTGACATGTCCACTTCCTCCCACTCGCCATTGTTATTTTAAGCCTGATAGTGTTTGCGAACCGGTCAGAGTTAATTTCTTATCTTTTATTGTGTTCAGTGCTTGTGTTTTTTGTTACTTATTTAAAATGTCAGGAAAACAAAAGAAGGTTGTGTTGTCGATTGTGCAAAAACTAGAATTAATTTCCAAAGTAGCAAACGGCGCTAAAAGGCAGCAGATGGAATTGGAAACAACAGTACGTGACATTCTAAAGCAAAAAGACAAACTGGTGAACTTTGCATGAATGTCGGGCAGTGCTTCTGCAATGAAAACGCGAAAAACTATGAACCTTTGATGAGCTAGACACAGCATTGACAGAGTGGTTAGCTCAAGTTCAAAAAGAGGGTACTCCTGTAAATGGTCCTATCATTGCGGCGAAGGCAAAAACCTTTTTTGAGTTGTTAAGGCCTGAAAGGAAATTTTGATTGATGCGTCTCTGGCTGGTTGATAAGACTTTGACTCGTTTTAAGCAGCAACATGGAATTCGAGAAATTGGACTTCATGGGGAGAAACTTAGTGGTGACCAACAAACAGCCGACGATTTCTACCATGAATTTGAAGAATTTGTTTTAAAAGAAGAGCTATCTTTTGAACAAATTTACAATGCCGATGAATCGGGACTTTTGTGGAAATGTCTTCTCACTCGCACTTTAGCATTTGAAAATGAAAGTAAAGCAGCGGGTCATAGAAGCAGCAAGGAAAGGATCACTATCATGTCTTGCAGTAACACTACCGGTGGACATAAACTTACACTTGTTGTCATTGGAAAGTCAAAAAAACCGAGATCTTTCAAAGGCACAAGGATAGAAAATTTGCCCGTTGATTACTTTAACAAAAAAAAAAAGAAAAAGAAAAAAGAAAAAAGAAAGGAGGCATGCACTGAAACATTTATCAAGAATAGTTCGAAAAAATCTTTGTTCTTCAAGTGTGTAAACATCTTAAATCGAAAAACCTGCCTGAAAAAGTTGCGCTATTGATTGACAACACACCTTCTCACCCAGCAACAAGTGTGCTAAAGTCTTCTGATGGACAAATTTTTGCAAAGTTTCTCCCCCCAAATATTACTGCACTAGTCCAACCCATGGACCAAGAAATCATTGCAACAATGAAGAGACATTGCTAATGACCAAAATTGAAGAGGGTTATGATCTGAAAGAGTTTTGGAAACACTACACACTCTTGGACAGCATCTACGATATTGCATCTGCATTGGGACTCAGTGAAACCATCAACCCTCATAAAATCATAGAGAAAACTCACGCCTAATGCTGAAGCCAACAACAACCTAACCCCTTTGAGTTGTGAAGAAGAGAATGAAGATAGACATGCCCACGGCAACTCTTGCCGTGAAAACAGTTCCGGGTGGTGAGAACGTCGATGCTGAAAACATTAATGAGTGGTTGGTGTGTGACGTCAATTATCCTGGCTTCGAACGCTTGACAGATGATGAAATTGTGAAAAAAGCAAGGGCAGAAGCCATGAATGAAGGACAGCGAAGTGAAGGCGAAGAAGAGTCTACTGTGCAGATGCGGAAGACTCACAAAGCGGCTTTGCAACAAGTCGACGGACTGCTGAGCTATTTGGAAGAACAAGAAGACGCTGAGTTGGCCGAGGAACTTATGCTACGAAAAATGCAATCTCGGATCAAGAGAAAATGCTTCCAAAGCAAGAAGCAAACACAAATGACTGATTTCTTCAAAAAAGGTGTAGTTTTACAGTTATGCTTTTGTAATCACATAATACATTACAGTATTAAAACAGTACATAGTATAATTTTTCTGTGTATCCTTGACACCTCTCGTAAGTACAAAGCACTTTTCTGTTTTCATTAACAGAATGCATTTTAGGTTAGTTTTGAGCGATTTACTAAAATATTAAGCATTAGTTAAACATTTCCTGCTGTTTATTTTATGTTTTATTGTACATAAAACGATTTTTCAAAGTTGGAATGACTGTTTTCTCTTTTGCTATACCCCTTTTTAGCTTTTTTCAGATTATCCGCGATTTTTGTTATCCGCAGTGGCCACGCCACCCAATTCCGCAGATAATCGGGAGTGTACTGTATAAATGATGGCCTTTTTTTTTCTGCTCATGTACAATGAAAAAAAAGGAAAAGAAAATAGGTTGCTATATATTAAGAAGTTCACCGAGGGAATTATTCTTGCCACAAACTGAAAAAAATGCACCAAGATAAATTTTTAAATTTCTCACCAAATATTACAAAATTTAATATCTAGGCATAATCTGAGACATAGAATCGAAATATTGAAAAAAATTGGTACGTTGTTTAAAAAAAAAAGTCAGATTTTGTGTCAAAATACCTATGTTAGAATAATGCTATATACTATATATCCCAAGTCACGCTTTTGAGACATGGAAAACGCAAGTTAAATTTCGACAATTGGTCCAGTAGAATGGGAGATATAGAACTTTTTTGTTGTTGGTGTTCTGCAAGATGTTCATTGTTTAGAACATGAAAAATTTTGTTTTCAAAACTCATGTATTAGGTATAATTCATTCAATTTTGAAAAAAAGTGCACATATGGTATTATTAAAGCTTTATTTACACAGTTCAAAAATGATTTAATGGCGAGATTTTTTGTGGGATTTTTTACGGTGAGACTTTTTATGTTTATGTCTTGTATGTGATCTGGATCTACTTCTGCTGCGTTCTCGCTTATGTTTGTGATGCCTCGGTGATGAACTCTCAGACCGGTCACTGTGTGCATGATAAGGTTTGGAATCATCTCTTCTGTGATCATAGGAACCTTCTCTCCTTTTGTGATCAGTTTTTTCTTCAGTTCCATCCGTATCTTTTGTACATAATTCTGAATCAACACCTTCAGTTCTATAAATGCATTATTAACAATTAAAACATGAACATAAACTTTATCATTGAAGAATTGAAGATTTAATAATGAATATTTTATTAGCATACTGATAAATCAATCTTAATTACAAATCCTGTTTACTTTCATTTCAGTGCATGCCCAGCATGATGTAACAAAAATACTCAATTGTAGTTCTGGTTATAGCCAAAAAATGAAAGTTCTCATATGATTTACACTTTTTCTAAATCTTAAAACAAAAAGTTACGTACCCTTAATAGTGATGGAGAGAGATTTTAAACTAACACCCTTTAATACAAGAAAATTCCTAACACTAATTTCATGAACTTCATATAATAATAATATAATTTAATTTAGCAAACTTATTGCATTCTTAAAATTACAAACATATACTTACTGCATTCTTAAAATTACAAACATATACTCTCTCCTTATGTTAAAAAATTAAAATAAATATACAATAACAAACTTGTTAAACTTCCTAATAACTCAGATATTTAGTTTATTGCAGTTTGATAAATAATGTTTTTATTGAAAAATAATGATTTAATTTATATCCAAAGTGTAAATCATGAAAAAAAAATTAATAACATCAAAATAATATGCTAAAAAAATTATGCCATAGTGTGGCCTTCCTTTTTCTTTTTTCATGTATATGTGTACAATCTGAAATCAAACGGCCAAAGGATATTCTTTTCTTAACATTAACAAAGTTTTTTTTAATTAAAGTTTGGGAAATGAACAATTAACATAATTCAAAATATTTTATGTTTTTTATAGTGGTACTGAAGGTATTTTACATCTGTTTAAAATACAATATGGAAATATTTACCATAAAGTAGATATGAATAGATAGGTAGATCTGAACAACAATGATAGTTATGGGATTTTATAACACAGTCTAGATTTACTAGCTAAAACAAATTCTACCTCCTTTACAAAAATTTATTGGAATAAATAATTTTCAATAATTACTTATGGATATACTAACTTCCATTTTATGGGATATGTATCACAAGATTACTCTAATTATGCTGTTATATATCACAAGATAACTCTATTATGCTGTTATATGCTTTGTATTAAAGCAATTAATTTGTTGTTATCATATCTATGATGCAGTCTATTCAAATAATGTAATGGTGGAAGATGACAGCCCTGGCAATTTGCAAAATGCTATCACCGAAGAGGTTTAATTTCTTAAACAAAAAGCCAATTTTTATCAATTTAGCAAGGGTGGCTTTACAATCAAAAATGTGTGCAGTTGTCCATTCTGTGTCCAGGCAGTTATCAAGCTTCTGTACGTTTTCTTACCCTCTTTGTTAATTTTCAATTCTCTGTGATTCTCTATGCCTGACTATGATTTTAGTTTAGATCTCTATTGGCATTATGGAGCTTGTGCTTTATTGGAATTGAATGTTCCTTCAATCTGTATTTGGCCATGGAATTTGTATCCAAGAGGGTGATTTATTTAAAAAATGAAATAGAAAATCTTCATAGGCATATTTTGTCAAATTTCTCATGAAAGGCACACTAAGTGAATGCATATCTTTGCAGCTCAAGGGCACTTAAAATCCATTTAACTGGAAGTCGTCTTAAAAGGTTGATGCTAAGGAAAGAACACTCAAATTTCATTCCCTCATTCATACTTTTAAATATGCTTCTCTATGATAAAGAAACTTCAGATCTCATTCACCAGGATGCTCTCAATCAAAACTGGGATGAGACTTGGCAAAGTTGTGATATCATCAATCAGGTGCAATGACAATACACTCTCTCATATCATCCATGATATCACATAAATATTTTCTAGTGTCTATACACCCAGACATGAGGATTAGCAAAAACAACTTTAACCCTTCTGTTTCACAAATGTATCTGTAGTGATCAGAGAATACTTTTGCTCTGATTTCAGTTTAATGTTGTATGTGTGTGTAATGATTTGGATGCTGATAGACAGTAGATCCATAAAAACTAGGTTGCAGCCATGATAATATTCCTTCTCATTTTTGTTAACAAAATTTCTAAACTAATACAAGTAAATTGGTGCACTAAGCACCTGTTCTTGTAGAATTACATCAGTTGCCATTTACAGTTTTAACATTTATTTGAAGAAAGCAACAGCAGTCTAGCAACACAGAAAACCAGAGAGTGAATGTGAAAGATGAGTTCAAATAATTTTAGTTTCACTTTATAATGCTCCCACTGGTGGTTTGAGTTTCAATTTGCAAAATTATCTGCATCATTAGCATTATGTAAGAATCATGAGACGCAAATTAATTTTTGAAATGATGCAGTTTAGAGATTTATTATAAGCTGATACAGTCAAAAGTCGTTAATTCGGACACCTATAATCCGGACATCAAAGCTACAAACTTTCTGCGCATGCGTCTCATTGCGCATGCGCATGAGACCTTTAGGGCTGTGCATATGTGTGTGTGCATGCACACAGTAGGTTTACGCATGCACGTTTAATGTATAACGGACGGTATAAGCTAAAATTATCTATTTCAGTTAATGTTGCAGATTTCGTTGTTCCTTAATCTTCGAATTGGATCCGGCTTATTATTTTTTGCAGACTGTTAGAGCAATTTTATAAAAGTAAGCTTGAACTTTCGATTATGTCAAATAGAATTTCTGATGCTGGAGCTCCCAAAGGACCTACAAAGCGAAAGTATATTTCGATGTCCATAAACAAAAAGTGGAATTGCTGCAAAAAATTGGATAAAGGTATATCCTTTGTTTCTCTAACCATTCCAAAATCTGTTTATCAATTTCACGCTGCTCCGCGGCAGGGAAGGGCGGGACGCCGCGGCGCACAATGATTTGGAAGTTGATCTGTCAGCACTATCCTTATCACAGAGCAGATGTTTTTATTTTATTTGGCTTATAGTTCCTTACTAAATGTAGTATTTCATCTCATGTACTCCATCTTTGATATGATTTAAATCAAATTCCTCATCATTATAATTCGCTTTCGATAGTGAAGAAAGTGACACAGAGGTTATTGAAAACGAAAAATTTCGATTGACAAATTAGTCGGTATTCTTGATACAGCAATTATAGGACTTGAACAGCAGAACTTTGTAACTGAACAAGAAATTATGTTTGTTTATAGAATTAAAGAGAAAGTATTATCACACAAAACAAAGCAACTTAAACAACTTACATTGAAAAAAATGTTTAATAAAGTAAACAAATAAACATTAAGCTTTTTTTTTTTTTTTGGTAAATTTTGATATCTTTTAGATCATAATTGTTCTTTATTTCATAAATTACGGTTTCATATTTTTAATTTTATAATTTCTGCATGCCATCTTACCAGATTTAAACTGATGATCTATAATCCGGAATCGCCGAAGTCCTGACGAGTCCGGATTAACGACTTTTGACTGTACTATGTTTAGGATCAAAAGAGGAAATATCCAAATTTAAATATAGAGTTAAGGCGTATTGTAAATTAAAGTTAGAATATTAATTTACATACTTTTTATCTAGCATATTCCCCTCAAAAGGAAAAAGGCTTAGCAACAAAAAAAGGCCTTTACAGAGGGGGAGGGAGAAATGAAAACAATAAAAATGGAAGAGAATTATTTTACTATGGAAACTATAAATCATGAAGTATTGAACTAAATCATAATTTGAAAATTGTGTTTGTAAAAGTAATGACAATTTTTAACACTTATGCTGATATTTCAGCCCAGTTTGTAAAAAGTTCTTTGTTTTTACAGCTGAGAAAGTTTTCTAACTTTTTTAACCCCCCCCCCAAAAAAAAACAAAAACATATCCAAAACTTAGTTCAATGCATGACAATAAATCACAAGAACTCTCATTTTTATAATTTACCTTTTAACTACAAAAATATATTAATATCTTAAGGAAATTATGCTTTCACTTTTTTTTTATTTTTCACCAAAATTTCCTAACTTTATACTAACGAAATTCTCCATAATTGTCTAAAATCAAACATTTACATCAGACTGGGCACATCCACATTAACTGTTTGATGTGTTACCAAACTAATGGTTTAAGGGTTGCTCAAACAGTTATTTAAAATGCCTATAAAGTAACTGGTGTTTGAGAGCTACATTAAAACATTGTATATATATATATATATATATATGTATATATAATTTATTTCCTAAACCGTATTGATTAATTGATTATATTATCTCCTAAGTTTAATTAAAGTAGAATTATTTTAAAAGTGTGCATCCATACTGGTAAGTTATATTTTGAAAGATGTTTTGAAGTAATTTGAAAGCAAAATGTTAATAATGTTTTAACGGGGACTGGAGTTAAATCATCACGAAGAATAATATTACAATTGTAAAAGTAAAAATTAAAACATGTAATTATTGTCATTGATCGGAAATTAGTTGACTTTTCAAGGGGAACAAACCAACTCCCGTTCAATGATCAATAATTGATAAAATACGTAAATATGAAAGTGTTTCGTCTTTACTCGAGTTATAAATTAAAGCCAAACCGGCAATTCTAGTCAGGCCAAATATTTCCGCGAATAGTTGTTACTCAAAGAACTGATTCTCATGAAGCATTTTAGTCAATTCAATTTGGAGTAAAAATCAATTACTGTAGAGAAATCTTGTAAAACTCGAGTAATCGTCCCCGACACTATCATCTTTATGTATTTGAGTACTATATTATTTGTAGAAATTAAACATTGGAAATTGTCATTATGAAATCGAAATCAAAGTAAAGTTGAAATAAACATAGAAGATTATAAAAAAGATAAATAATGCAAACTTTGCAAAAACAAATCAAAGAGAACATAAAAATAATATAAAAATAAAATAGAAAATAATATAAATAAGATCAGTGAATGTACATGAAGATATAAAGGCCAGAAAGGTATTAAGTAACTTACATTCTTTCTAGTGGGGGAGTTGGCAGTGTGTTCTCTTCGTGTCTGACTCAGAAGTGTAGGGTGTCCGAAAATTCTTAGCGGCAGTAGGGGCTTTGAATTATATCAGTCGGT